TGTTTTTGCCTTCAATTTTGTATTTGGACGGTTGACATAAACTTGTCGGCAATGGAATCAGATTGTGGTTTAAGAATAAGAAGATGAAATCTAGGAATATTATGGCTACGTTAGAAGAATATCAAACAACAAGAATAGGATATGAATCTAGGATAACAAATGAAACCATATGGTTTAGACATTGGATTGTGATATACCATGGTTATGGAATCTAAGCAACTATCTCACCGACCATGTTTTTTATTTTTTTATTTTTGTTTCTGTTGGGTGTTAAATGTAGTATTAAAGTAATGAGAATGTGTGTCACAAGCCTGGGATCTGCACAAACCAAATTAACAAGGGGAGGGAGAGAGGAAGGGAGAAGGAAGATTGAATATTAGTTTTAAAACAAGCAAATGGAGGGAAACAAAATAATAATTTTGTTCCTTCATGAGATGGTTCAATTGGTTAGAAATTTGAGATTTTAAGTTAGAAATTTTAAGTTGGAATCTTGAGTCAAGTGGAGAAAATTTTAAGAAAATAGGAGCACTTTTCTTTTTTTGTATATCTCATTATCAGATATATATTTTTTAAAAAAAAAACAGTAATTTTGTCGATGAAAAAAATAGGGACTAATTTTGATGTTTTGTCCTAATAGGGAGGGACTCATATGAAAAAAAAAAAAATTACTATAATCATCCTGTGGTCCTCAAGCTAAAAACATCACTTTCACTTTAAGCTTGGTGGATGGAGTAATGTGTTCTAATCTGCCATAAGAATAAAGGCATAAAGGGTAAAGACTTCACAGACACAACCTGGTGGGCTTTGTGGGGAGGATGAGATCACTTGCTTTCTTCTTAGGATTTTGTCTAACTTATTAGAGTCACTCATTTAACATAAACCTAAAAAAGTCCATAATATCTCACATGTAAAATAAATAATAATCCCATTACCAATGAGATGAAATTAACAAGCAACTCAACTCAACTGAACTCAACTCACACTCTTGTTTTACTCCTAACAACCAAAAGAAAATTCAACAAAACATCATGATTGAATGTGAATACTGAATCTTTGAATTGGATTACAGCTGATCCATAGACACAACAGCTATAAAACCCCAACTTCTCAATTACTAATTGACTATCATAATTCACTGGCCCTAGTCTAGGAGAAGAGACTTTTGTTTGTTCTTTCAGTAGACAATTGTTCTGCCCAACTCATAACCTTCTACAGTTACACGACCACATTGGGCCCAATTTAGAGCATGACAATGAGGTTTGAAGATATCTCTTGACCAAATGTTTTGATCCCCAGTTAGCAACGGAGAGGATTTGAACTAGATGGCAACTAAAAGATGAAAGCAATCAAAACCCCTAAGACTGCATAAATATTTGAACTATAATTTACGGTTACATTTGGTAATTACAAAAGAGTCATAATCTGGATTCTAGGGTGCAAATACTGATAATCAAGATGAAACCACAAGAAAATACAGCAAATACTAACAAGTTTTGTCATTGTAATACTTATCTTTCAGATTCATCCCACTATTGGACTTAATCCTCTAGGAGAATTGTGAACCTAGAAACCCCAACTGAAAGCATTCCTCTTTGAAATGTTGAGAATTTTAAAGTGATACAAACACTAAAGATTAATCCATCCTGGCTTACAGCACGAGGCATGACACCAAAAACTCAAACATGTACAAAGCAGTGCTTATCTTTTCAAGGCTGCTGCTTTATCTCAGTACAATGAGTGAAAAAGAAATTGGCCAAGAAAAGTTGTCATGTAGACATCCTATAGATGGTCATATAACTCATATCGGTTCAGAAAAGGCACAAGACAGAAGTCTCATTCTGTGTCTATTTGACAAATAGGTGAAATTTGTTTAGAATACCCATATGCATAAAATTCATGTTTGTATCATTATGCTTCATAAAATAGATTTTCATAATTATATTATTACGCTTCATAAAATAGATTTTCAATTATGTCAATACTGTTTAAAAAAAAAAAAAAAACCAACTAATAACTTACGATTCGCTATATTCTTCCCTAACATTGCATTTCATATGGGCAAGTATAAATAGCATGCCAAGTTATGAAGCATGTGCTCGGAAACAAAAATGTTTTAAAGTTGGAATCCTCCATGCCATTAAAAACATAGCCTACTACTTTGATCAAACTACTTGCAGCAAACTCTACCACAAAAAGACCCATGCCATTATGGTTTCCCTTTTCACCCAAAACAAGCAGCATCCATAGAATTTAAAATTTGGTTCCTGAAAGTAAGCTATCACGATACACATTGCAGTTACAAAGGTGTTATGCTAAGAAACCAATTTCACTTTTATTTAAGCTCAAGCCAATACAACACATTAGTTGAAAATTTTCCATAGTCCTTGAGAACTAGCAATTCATATTCATCCATCACAAATAGTAAAAACAGCACTGAATTCCGATACAACAGCCACTGAAATCCAGAGAAAATAGTGTGCAATTGACCAATTTGATTATTAACATTAACACGTAGTCTTAACACTAGCATTTTAAAACCGAAAAATGGAAGAAAGAACCTAGCTATTAAAACTCACGTTTCTGGAAACGAGCAACCTCATCTTCATTAGGGAAAAACCCCATGAGTCGACCCGCCGAGTTCTGGTAAGCGTACATAAACCCTCCCATTAGTCCTATCAGTCCTCCGGTCACCATTGATGGCCCTTTCAACCCAGGCTTGATCCCTAAATTGATAAATATGGTTCAGAAAAGGAAGGAAAAAAGAAAAAAAAAACCCCATTTCAAATAGATAAATTCGCAGATGGCATGGCATAGGAAGAAAGAGAGAATACCAGAGAGGTAGCCGACGGTGACGGAGACGCCGGTGAGGGTGACGAAACGGAGGTAATCAAGGGTGTTGAAGTTGCCGACCACTTTGGTGAAGGGAGGGTTTCGATCAATCACCGGGTACTCCGGTTTCACCGATGCTGTAATGTCTGTGTTCATTTTCCGTTCCGACAAGCGCTGCCGCCGATCACTAGCTAAAGTCTTCGCCTTTGCTGTTGCAGTTCGATGCCTTGGAGGGATTGAGGATGATGGAGATTCGGCCCTTTTGTTGGGCCTACAATTTTGGGCTCCTCGGGCCTAAGATGGAAATTGTTATTGGAATGAAGCCGGTGAGTAGCCCTCGGCATTTGAAACCGAAACCGACGGTTTATATGAAACCGAACCGAAAAAATAAATTCGGTTCGGTTAAAACGGTTTTCGGTTTTTACTGTTTCGGTTTTCATATTAACCAAATAATTTTGGTTTGCTTTTGGTTGAATTTTTAAAAAATCAAAAACCAAAAATAAAACCGAAATTAGGATAAAATAAATAAAATATAACAAAATATGATAAAATATGTGATAATATGTGATAAAATATAATTTATTATTAAAAAAATATAATAATTTAAAAATATTCTTACTCAAAAAATTCTTTACACCTAACCTCTAGTATATAACACTCTTAAATTATCT